GCCCCTCAACCTGGGGGTCCAGCTCTGCCTCCTGCTCCCAGCCCACTGGAGTTAGAGGCATTTCTTCACTCTGACAGCTGCTGGCTGCTGAGGCTGAGAAACCCAAGGTTGACAAGTAAAAAGGCACAGTCCCAATGTTACCAAACCACACGGCAGGCCATTAATTTAAGTCCATTTTAAGTCCCAAGGTCTATAGAGCATGGCAGGCTGTTGAAAATGACACGGCTACATGCAGGGTCCAAGCGTGCCATAGGCTAGAGACCATTCCCAAGGCTTCTCCTTATATACAGGAAACAGACCACATCCCAAAGGCAGCTACTCAGCTGCTGTGGTAGATCCCACCATGGAGTTGACTGCCCGTCTCATCATGGGGAATAACTACCACCAGCTGCCCAGCCACTCAACCAGGCCCAGCCAAAATGACACACAAACATAACTACCACTCCATACTACATCTCAACATTTGCTTCCAGAGATTTCAACCTTCAATAGTAGCATTCAACACCATTCTTTTATTAAAAACAAAACAAAACAAAATTCTGTAAACTTAACATTTGAAGTAAATTCTTTTGTCAGTATAAAAAGTAACTACCAGGACCTTATAGCAAAAGTATTTAATGCTGTAATATTAAGTACTTTCCTATAACAACAGGAACAAAGGTAAGGATGCTTTTGATCATGAGTACTGCTTAACATTTTATTGGACATAGCAGTCAGTGCAATAAGACCAAAAGGAATGGAGAGAGGGAAGGAAAAAAGCAAGGAGGGAGGGAGGGAAGGAAGGAAGAAGGAAGGAGGGGAGGAAGGAAGGAAGATAAAAGGAAGGGAGGAAGGAAGGAAGATAAAAGGAGGGGAAGAAGGAAGGAAAAAGGATGGAGGGAAGGAAGGAAGGAGGAAGGAAGAAAGAAAGGAAAGAAGGAAGGAGGGAAAGGAAGGAAGAGAGGAAATAAGAAAGAATGATAAATTTAAATATTAAAAATTAAGAGCTCAAAATATCACTATTTTCAGGTAATTCGATTGCTTATCTGGAAAATCCAAGAAAATCAACTGAAGAATCATTAAAACTAATAAGAAAGTTAAGGTTGACAGACACAAGAACAGTATTCTATAAAGCAATAGCTTTCCTACACATTAATATGGAAGGAAGGTTGGGCAATGTCCTTCCATAGTGATACCACTTCGGAAACCCAAGGAGGGGTCTGACTCGACAGCACATAACAACAACAACAACATACATTAATAACCAATTAGGTAGGAAACATGCAACAAAGAATCCTATTTATAGTAATAACAAAACCATAACATATCCAGAATGAAACTGAAGAAGATCCATGCGAATAAGACTATAAAAATTCAAATACATTAAAGGAAACAAAACAAAACAAAAATGTAAAGATATGTTATATTCCTAGATGTGAAGACTCAATATTAAGACTATCAGTCCTATCTTTAGGTTATTCTTATAAATCCCATGCTCCCTAAAATCCCAAGATTTTAAAAAAAATGAAATACATCAAGGTGAAGCTAAGGTTTATACAAAAGAAAACTTGCATGAGATCGGCTAAGAATTTTTTTTGAAAAAGATCAATGAGGACATCTTCTCCTATAACATATCAAAAAAAAAAAAAAAAAAACCTTGAGCCATAAATAAAAGAAACTAAATGAAAACCTGTTATTAATTTAAAAAAAAAATTGGGTAAATGTGTGTGCTTGAGAGAGTGAGCTAGCTAGCTGCTGGTGAGTGGTCTCTGACTCATGGCAACATTAGGTATAATAATGAAATGCTTCAAGGTCTTAAGTCATCCTCATGACTGCTGACTTGTTCGAGTCCATCATTGTGGCTATGTTGTGCCAATCCATCTCATTGAAGGTCTCTATTTCACCTTATTGGTTCTCTATTTCACGAAACATGATTGTCCGCTAGTAATTGATTTCTCCTGATGACATGTCCAAAGCAAGGGAGACAGGCAATGTATTGTGCTCTCTAGCGTTTTCATTGGCTAATTTTTGGAAATAGATTGCCAGGCTTTTCTTCCTAGTTTGTCTTAGTCTGGAAGCTCTGTGAAACCTGCCCACCATGGGTGACCCTGCTAGCACTTGAAACAACAGTGGCAGAGCTTCCACACTGCAGCAATACAAGCCACCACAGTGTGACCGGCTGATAGTGGTAAGCCAAACTGTAGTGCTAATAGAAACTTGTAGCCTGTCCGTCCCTGTTTTCCTGTGACAGAAAATTAGCCTGACATGCCTGACTTAACAGGTGGAAGAAGAGCTGTGCTTTGCTAAGATCCTCTGGGCCTTCTAGTGGGTGAGGGGAAAGCATACAGAAGCATTATATGCTTATATGACGCTTAAGAGTATGTATTATACAGTACTGAGTTCTCAGTGAAGGCAAGCATGGGTATATGGACGGATAGATAGGTGGACAGGCTAAATGATTAGGTATGTCTATGAAAGAGGGAGTGTATCCAAGATCATATATAGAGTTGGCAGACAATGGTCCTATAAGTTTATGTGAATGATCAGAATCCCCAGGTGTATAGCACAGCTGACAAGGGGCTAGGTTGTGGTCACTGCTTGGTCACAGCCAGCTACCCAGAGGGACCGAGTAGTTGATCCTGAGGGCTTGGGACCATAGTCACAGGAGACATCAAGCTCAATTGGCATAACATACTATACAAAACATTGTTCCACCTCCTACTTTGGTGAGTAGCGACTAGGATTTTAAAAGCTAGCAAGCTGCCATCTAGATGCAATGATGGGTCTCTCCTCGTCAAGAGCAAAGAAGAAAGAAGAAAACCAAAATTAATGGAAACAATCAGTCCTCGCGACTGGTACACCATCCGATCTGCAACCTATACAACTATGAGACCAGAAGAACTAGATGGTGCCCAGCTACCACTGTCATCCACTTGGAAGGGATGTAGGAGATCCTGGATAGAGAGGGAGAACAATGTGGAACAAAACTCAAAATCATTTGGAGGGGAAAAAAAAAAGATGGTTGGGACCAGGTTTGCTGGTCCAATAGAGCCTGGTGGAACCACTGAGACTATGGCCCCTAGATGCCCTTCAGGTCTGGAATTGAACCCACACCTGTTGTTTCCAGCCAAACAAAGTACAGGCATGTGAGTTAAACATTTACCTCAAGTAGACACACGCCCTGGAGAGAACAATCATGGGAGAAGGAAGGGCTGCTTATGCCCAGGGAGACAGCTCAGGGGGCAGGAGAGTATGGAGGGATGGACACTGGGAAGTGGTAACTATGGGGAGGAAGTGGGAGGGGACCTGTTGCATTGTGGTAAACTGTGGTCAATGACATGAGACAAAGTATATGTGAACTGCTGTATGGAAAGTGAATTTGCTCTGTAAATCTTCACCCAAATCACAATAAATAATAATAATAATAAAGAGTATGTATTATAAACATCTTTCCTTGGCAATAGGTGCCTTAGTTCAGCATCATTTGATGGCTTTTTTCATTTTATATTTTATCATAATTTATTTAACAAAGCCTGTAATTTTAAACATTTGGGATGCTGCAAACTTTTTCGTATTAGAATTAGCATTCCAAAGAACACATGGTCATGTATTTTTATGCATATCCTTAAATTTTTGAAACTTAAAATTTAAATTTTTTAATTTCCTGGGGAGCAATTACTGCTAGTGAAAAGTAATACTGTTACTATTATCAGCCTGATAAATGTTTGAGTAATATTGAAAACAAAGTTGGACCTGTGCCTTAAGAAACTCATTCCTAGACAAATGAGTAAGCAAATAAAGAAGATACAAAGCCTAAGGATTCCAATATACTGTATGAGCATGGATGTGCTAGATAGGATTTATTCTCCATAACCCAAAGTGAGAGCTTCTATTTGAGATTTAAGTTGCAAAAAATGTATTTTAGGTCTTTCGCTAGTATTATCATAAAGAATTTAAATGGATATGTTTTGTCATAACAGTGAAACAAGTACGCTGGATTATAGTAAGGACTTTCGTGTAGTTAATGCACAAAATTCCGAAGCCTACAATATCTTAGTTACTCACTACTATTAATCTTCATTTGCAATTAAATTGGGACTTTTTTATTTGTACCTGATTTAGGTACTTCTCAGAATTAAACTGCAAGCGGAAAATCTTATTTTCTTGCAAAAACTAAGAAAAGCACAGTGAACATAGATATAGTAATTGTCAGCACATACAAAACTCCCTTCGGAGTGGAAATGGTCTGAGTTGCTGTCTACGGATTTGCATAGCCAGGATGCTCCCTAACACTACCGGCTTCATACTGGTGTTTCCACTGCCTGGCAGCACCAATCTGGGTTAAGGCTCCGTGGCTCTATCCATAATACTTGGCAACAGGTCCTAGGAGGTTCCCAAAGCTATAATGACAGTTTCTACACTGTGGAATAGATTAAACAGCTAGGACAAACTGTGCATCAAGAAAGTTAAGCCTCAATCAGTAAGTAGGAAGCCAGAGAACTCGGCAGGGAACGAGACCGAGGAGAAGGAAGCGGGAGTTCAGTGTGGTCCCACGGATCGCTGGCTACCGCGAGAGGCGTCAGAGTAGAAGCAGAGATTCCCAGCTGGGTCGCGCTAACCCGAAGACTCAGCTCCCCTCCAACTAGACAGTGGCTGAAAAACAATGGTCCTTTATCCACTCCACCGACGCCAGGATGTCGTCTCGGTGCTTGCCACTGGAGTACAACCGTTGGAATGAAGAGAGAATCAGAAACGCGTTGGTTAATATCCCGGTGGAGGGCACTGGTGGGCGGATGCGGGAGGTGATGTTTTGATTACCCGTCAGTCAACAGAACCCTCCGCTGATTCTCGCAGCCCTTAGCGCCGGATGTGTCCAGGTCGGAGCCTAAATCTCAGCGCTGGGAGGCATGTGAACACCGGCCAAGGGGCCCTCACAACCAGCACCAGCAGCGATCCGTTGCGACCGCAGAGTAACCTCGAGCCGGAAGTGACGCAACCGAGCCGAACACTTCCGGAGCTGCGGGGACGACTCTGCCGGAGGAAGCAGCGGGGGCCCCGACCGGCGTCGGCCCGTCGCCTCCGCCGCCGTTGGGCTCTAAGTAGATCAGTTTGGCCCGGCACGACCCGTCGTGGTCCGCCCGGGCTCAGCGGCCGCGGGGCCGCGGCTCCTGGTAAGTGCGTAGGGCGAGTCAGGGCCTTGTTTACCGCGGCAGGCGGGGGAGGGGGAGCTCTCCGCGCGCCTGCCCGGCTTGGCTGGGACTCCGCCTTCGCCGCAACCCGCGAGGCCCCGATGCCCCCTGCCGCCTGTACGGTGTCCCGTCGCCTCCCGCCGCCGGTTGAGAGGCTAGGCCGGTGCGGAGGGGTGGCAGGAGGTTGCCGCCGAGGCAAGCGAAGGTCCGACGTTTCTCTGCCCTTCCTCCCGCCGCCGCCTCAGCTGGCGGAGAGGTCAGAGGCCAGTTGCTCTGACCGACCGGCGCTGGCGTATTTGGGCCCTTCCTGCAGGGAGCGCCGAGGAAAGGCGCCGCCTCCGGGAGTTCCCACTCGAGTCATCTTTGGGATCTCTCGCAGTGCCCCCTGCGCGGTTAACGCCCGCTTATGAAGGGTCTCCTTAGCGAGTGGGTTCCTTATCCGCGTGGAGTGCCGGGATAACGCCGCACCTCTGAAGGGACATGCGGCCCAAGAGTTGCGCCGCCACCTCGCCCGACGCTGTCGGGCTAGCAAGGAGAGAGAGGCCGCTGTGTTTTCGGATAACTTTGCCACTGTGTTGATGTTGCTTTGTCCCATAGAACTTTATGCGATGATGGAGATGTTCTGTACTTTTGCTGTTCTGTGTGGTAGAGATGGTGTTGTTGTTGTTATGTGCCATCGAGTCAAACCCGACTCATACTGCCCCGGAAACCCAGGGAGGGGTCGCTAAGAGTCTAGACCTACTCGACGGCAGTGTTTTTTTGATATGGTAACCACTAGCTACATGTGGCCATTGGATATTAATTAATTTTACAGTTAAATATAAATAGCACATGTGGCATACGTCTTTCTTACTATACAACACAAACATGAAGAGTAGAGTTTTGGAAACAATTTGCTGATTCATGTATTTGTGGCAAATAGTTTCTTCGGAGATGTAGGCTTAGCAGGTGACCATTCAATGATATATATTGGAGTAAGCATCGTCTCTCGCCATAAATGTCCATTTAGTTCTTGTCAACGTCAAACAGAAGTCTTCATTTTTCATCCTTTCCTTCCTGGGTGAGTAAGCCCAGGGTGGATGTCTGGTCCTCTGAACATATGACTTTAGTTGGAAAATTATTTCTGTTCTTTTTTTGTCTAGAATGTAGAGGTAATAGTTAATGTCTCAGAAGAATCAAAGCATTGTCATCAGTTTTGTTAATAAAAGCAGTAACTGGCCCCCGTGAGCAAGTTCAGCGTTCTTTCAAGTAGAATACAGATATTTAATTTTGAGAAGACTAAAAATTAAGTTTTTACTTAATTTTGAACCTAGAATGCCCAGTAAGTACTAAATGGAGTTCTCTTTTTATCTGGGAGGGGCGGGCAATGCTGAAGTTCTCCCCTTCTTGAACATTGAGAACCCTGTGGGTGACTCGAAGGCCCAGAAAAGTCCAGAGAATGAAAAGTGCTCTTTTCATGGTGTTATTTTGGAAGGTCTTTGGGTAAGTTTGTGGCCATATCAGGCTGTCTGAGAGAATAAACAAGGTTATGAAATCCTGTAGGCCTGGGGTAGGGTGGAGGTCCGATGCAGGGCTTCACTAGTTGCCAGCCAGTGTGATCCTGGGCAAGTTACTTAATCTTCCTGAACTGTAGCTTCCTCATTTGTAGAAAGGCAATGATAGGTCCACTTTTGGGTTGTGAAGATTAAATGAGAATGAGTCTGATGTGAAATTAAATAATTGGTAGTAATTTTTGTAGGTTGTGAGCAGTATTCATGGATTTTATTTGTTCTATAGGCGTATCTGGGAGCTCTGGTAGCGTAGTGCATAAGGCATTTGACTGCTAACCAGAAGGCTGGTGGTTCAAACCCACCAGCCATTCCTCTGAAGAAAGATTGGACAACCTACTTCTGTAGTGATACTGCCTTGGAAACCCAAGGAGGGGTCGCTATGAGTCGGATCCGACTGTATGGCAGTGAATCTGGTTTTTTTTGTTTGATAAGCCTGTCTTACTTAAAAATACCTGTAAAAGAAAAAAGATTGGAAAGAATCAATCGTTCTTCCACTGTTTTGGAAATAATCTCCCACAATCATACTTTGGACTTCATTTTTAGATTTTCATTTAGTTTATATTTGCCTATTTGAAGTATTTCTTTGGAAGCTATAAGCTCTAATTTTCTAGAAATCCTAAAGGATAAAGCAGGTGGAAATAAAATTTCTGAGTGAGCAATAAGCAGTATTTTTTCAGTCCTGGATTGTGAGATCTATATCTCTTCAGAAGCCAAATGACCCTGGAGTATGTCAGGAGAGAGATGGGAAATGGATATTAATATTGCCTAGTGTTAATATTGCCCTCATTTTGGGGACATTTTTTATTTGAAAATAACTTTTTTATGAGTAACGTGATACCTGAAATATTAGCAGTATTCTGTAATTATTTGATTATAGTAAAAGTATACTTTTTTAGTTACAGTTTCTCCCTGAAAAATTAATGCCTTGTCAACCTCTAAGGAACATTTAGGATTGAAATTGTGGTAGTTAACTTAGGGAATCTGAAGGATAAGAGTAAGGAAATGAATGGGCTTTCAAACCAGGAGAGGGAATTGGACATCCATTTTAACAGTACCAGTACCACAGGTTAAATTATTGTCAATTGTTAACTTCAAATACTTTATTGTTTTTAGAAAGTCATGTAACTCATGTCATTGTGCAAAAAAGGACGTCGGGGAGGTGTCCTCTTCGGACCACCTTTAACTTCACATGGGGGAAGGAGGAGGATCCACAACATCAACAGCCCAAGGCTGGTTCCTATGAAGTGGGAGATGGGGCATGCTACCACCCTACAACCGTTTTACCAGTTCTTGCCTCAACTGTCCCTCCCATAGCACACTCCTTCTCTGTTGGGTTCAGTAATTCATTACAGTGGCCACATAGAACTCACAGACAATACTCAAAATTATGGGCTTTATTAGGGAAGTTACAGGTTACAATTCAGGTTCAAGAACACTCGGGATACAATTCTTTGATCAGGACAGCCTTCCTTCTGCCATGACCCCAGGCACGCCTCTCTGGCTCTTAGCCTGGCCCCTACCTTCTTGGGCAAGTTTAGCTCTGCTGATAGGTGCTCCTCACCCTGCCAGCGGTGCTCCTCACCCTGCCAGCGAGGCTCCTGCCCAGAGGCACTCAGCTTTCTTGCTCTGTGGACTGGCATGCCCGCCACTCCATTTTTTTTGCCAATCTCTTGAGCTCTGTTGATTCTGCTGCTTTGCTGCTACTGTTGTTCTGCCAGCTGTCTCAACGTGGGGATCTTGGGCCAAAGCATGTGCTCCACTCCCGGTTTTTCTTTCTTGATGGCACTGAGATCCCCCTTTTCCACTTCTGGAATAGCTCATTTTAAGCCTAGCAAGATGGCAAGACTGACCAGTCCTCACGTTAGAGTTTTGTTCACCTTATTTGCACAGTCCTACCCCCACAAAGGTGCCATGTACCTTACTTACATTATTAGCAAGCTATTTAATCCCCTTGGTGGGCCACAAGCACCTCACATTTGTATATTTCCACCTAGTCATCTGGTGGGAATTACAAAGACCCATGGCTCGAAGAGTAAACCAAGTACTTCACTGCACCACACCATATAGTTATGATATTAGAAATTTTATTGAAACTTACAGTTTTTACAGCTTCTTTTTACTTGTTGTTTTGAATATGTTCACTTGTTAAAAAAATAAATTGTGCAAGCAAGATACCAATTTGAAAAATATAAATATAATTTTCTCTTTTTATTTTAGATGGAAATCATATGACACAGAATATTGGGTGCTATCTTCCTGACAGATCTTCAAGAATTGCAAGTATTCTTAATTCAAAGATAAACTTTTTCTGCTAAAGGGAAAAATACCATAGTTAAGTTCAATTGTGATTGGATGGTTCCATCATGCAGAACAATTTGGTTAATATCAAATAAGCTGCCAGTATATGGCTGCCCTAACATTAGTGTGCTTTTTTATAATTTGAGCATAAAACTTAGAGCCAGTATTATAATCACTATGTTCATAAAAAAAAGGTGGTTCCATTGTCCTTTAGGTTGATTACCTATTCAGTACACATTTATTCTTAATCTTTGTTTAAGAGAATGATTTTTTTTTTAAAGAGATTACTTCAAATAGACTTTACATTTAGTTTTGTATTTAATACAGATTTTTTAATGTGAATTATTTACATACAATTTAATCTAAATGTTCCTACATTTTAGGGTCCTATTTGTTTTTAGATTTAAATCACTAGTTGATAGGTTCCTTGTGCACCATCACTTGAAATAGTACTCCTGCAGAAAAATTAGAGAGTATTTGCTGAAATCTTTTCTGAGATGAGATTAGGATTTGTGACTGTTCTGTTTTCTCAACTAGTGTTTCTTATCATTTACATATAATTGAGTTCCATTTTTATCTGTAAGGATTTTTCAATAGCTGGTTCTATTTGAACTCTTTATTTCTTCACCCTAAATAGATCTGATTTTCCCTAGCCTTTATCCTAGTCAGGCAAAATATTTATATTGTTTTTTCACTGTTGGGTCTGTTTCTTTGCCTCTAAATATTCCTTTTAAAAGATTAGTAAAACCCTTTAAAACTGAAAAATAATTTAACTTTGTAGACTAGACAAGGATGTTGAATTGCTCCTCAGAAGAGGAGGAACTATGTGGCTTTTATTTTTCCTCTTAACTATGCACTTATTCTTCAGATATCTGAGAACGATGTCTGTGAAGCAGTGGTTTTCTTTTCCTACATATAATGGAAAGAAACTCTGTCTCTATGTATGTGCTGTGTGACCACACAGTGATGACAAGGAAATAATGCCTAAGACATTTGACTGCTAACCAAAAGGCTGGAGGTTCAAACTCAACCAGCCACTCCTCAGAAGGAAGATTGGGCAATCTTCTTCCATAGTGATAACTGCCTCAGAAACCCAAGGAGGGGTCGCTATGAGTTGGATCCAACTCAGCAGCAGTGAGTTTGGTTTGGAGTTAAACATTTAGGTATGTGGGCAGCCACCTGTGGGGATGTGCTTCTTTTCCTTTAAGGACTCTGGTGAGAAGGACAAGTCCATGGGAATTTGACTTCTTGACATGGAGCAGACATCCTTACCCTTTCAGGCCAGGCCTTTCATCTGAAGTTACCAGTGCATTGTCAGCCACTTCTGCCTCTCTGGAGATTTCACCTTGATAAGCCTGGGTAGGGAATGGTATTGAGGTTTCTAGTGTGAAACAGGAGTTGGAATAGGCTATAGTTGGCGTAGGGCCAATACTGTCACATCTTGATTCTTCATGAATGGCTTCTATTACAACTTCTCATGGAGAAAATGTTAACACTTGTTTTTTTCTTTTCTTCATTTAGAAGTCATAAACACTAATGCATTTGAGAAAGCGGTAAAAATTTTGGCGGGGAGGGGAAAAAGCAACTGCTTTCCTGACCTGCAGCTTTAGTGGATGCTAATATGTCTGTGGACATGAATAGCCAGGGATCTGACAGTAATGAAGAGGACTATGATCCAAATTGTGAGGAGGAGGAAGAGGAAGAAGACGAGGACCCTGGGGACATAGAGGACTATTATGTGGGAGTAGCCAGTGATGTGGAACAGCAAGGAGCTGATGCCTTTGATCCTGAGGAATACCAGTTTACCTGCTTGACCTACAAGGAGTCAGAGGGTGCCCTCAATGAGCACATGACCAGCTTAGCCTCTGTGCTAAAGGTGAGCAGTGTTGCCAGTTCTAAGTTTAATTCCCCTAATCAAATCTAAGGATAAGCTATTTGTTGTTAGCCAATGATTCCTGCAGACTGATTGAATGGCCCTGTAGCTTGAAATCAAGTTTAATTATATATTGCATCATTTGGAATACATTTGTTTGATTTACTTTGTTTTCAAATGTATAAACATTTAAGGTCTCAGATTCCCAAATTACTGAAAATTAGAGAAGAGTAGTAGGAGTAGATACAGAAAAGACAGACCAGAAATGCAGTCAGTGGCAGACTTATATGGACTAGCATTTGTTTCAGAAAGTGAATCTTAAGAAACTTGGAGGTAAGATGTGATAAGCATCAACATCTCCACTATTTTCTGCACAACCATGTTTGTGCGACTGATAAGTGTCTTGAGAGTAGCCTGTTCCCCCTGGTTTGCCCTGAATAGAAAGTGCTTCTGGGCTGATGAGCTCATTTGTTTCATATACTGATGACTAATGTCTAATGTTGAAAAAGATCAGTTTAGCAGTATTTAAGAAAAAACTAAATTCTTATAGTTTGTATTTCATTGATTTTTAATGGATTAAGTGATAAATATGGGAATTTTAAAGAATGAACAAAGTTGGTTATTCCCGCAAGAATCTTAATTTTAAGACTAGCGTGCTTTTTTGGTGTCTTATACCTCAGGTCAGTTATTCTTGCTATTTACACTTTCTTCTAATATTGGTCATTTTGTGAAAGTGGGGACATTTCATTTTCTGCTGACCTTCCTTGAGGAACTGTTAGGTGGATTTTGTTGTCTGCTCAACTTGAAGGTCAAGGGCACATAGGCATGATTTCAACCAAGTAAATTAAATTCTTTTGTTGATATTTAAGTGGAAACAACTAAGATATGCCATACATCATTTCTATAAAAGTTGTTTTTCTACTAATTGAGGGATTTTTTTTCCCAGGTGGTCAGCAAAGGCTAACTAATACCTTGGATTTAGATACTTAGAACACCTTACCAAGGCTTTAATAGCAACTGGATAAAAGCTGAAAGCTAAAGGTTTTTTTGTGACTCATTCCTAGAAGTGATTGCAGTCTTCCCCTCTTTGTCTCCCATGCTCAGCAGAAACTGAGGAATGGGGACCCATAGAACCTATGAATTTGGGATTTCTGCACTATAGTTATGTCAGAGCTGCTGAGACCTCTGCTTTCGAGGGCATTTCCCTGGCAGATAAAAGGCATCATGTTCCTTTTTTCCTCACTATGTACACCTCTCCTTTGCTGGTCAACTAGTTTGTTTTGTTTTAACCATATTGTCAGCTTTTACACAGTGTTTATATTTAAAATAAGAAAAAGAGTTGCCAGGAGTGTGGGTATGTGCTAGATAGTGCCAGTTGACCAAGTTCATCAGGATGTTCCCGTGTATGCACAAAAATGCCCAGTTTGTCACGTTTTATTTGTAGACTTTCCTGCCCTACAAGAGACGATTGGACCAGGCATTCATCCTTCCTACTTATTAGGCTGATATGGTTAGCCCCTTGGAAAGCTCCCCTTCACCTTTTCACCTTTAATACTTTCAAGGCTCCATTATCTATCTACCTTATGCTTTCCTCGGTGAGACTCATTGAGAGCCTCTAGAATATGGTCAAGTTGCCCTGCTTTAGTCCAGGGCTTCATGTCAGTTCTGCCTGGTTCAGTCATGGCCAAGGAAGCAAAACAGGAACAGACCTGAATTTTTAGAATTTGGGCGAACTAGAACAGTAACTAGAAAGGGAAAAATTATGGGTCGAAGCCCTGTTAGAAACTTAAATCTCCCATTAGAAAACAAGGACAGCATACATACTGCTTAGCGGCCAAATCTGTTGCCCATAGTATTTTGAGCAGAGTGGGAACCAATAATGCCCTTCTCAAAGATTGCAACAGACCATGCCACCCTTGTATGTGTTGCTCTCCACACTGCTGGCAATAACCCAATTTCTTGCATCAGGCTTCTGAAAGGAACCTCTTCTGAATCTCCTATTCCAGGGCTTTACTACATGTAATTTTTCCTATTCTGGTTATGGTTCCAGATAATCCAGATTTTAAAAATTTGGGTCTGTTCTGGTTTCATTTTACTGGCCACGACTGAACCAATTCGAATTGGTTTGATGCCCTGTGTTAAGTCTTACTGCCTAAACATTATAGCCTATGTACGTTAAAAAATGTATGCCGGTCTTTTGACTGTTTTCAGTTGTTTTGCCTTTTCATATATTTTTCTGTTATCTCTCCAGCTAGAAACTGTTTTGTACCTTGTCTTTCCCATCATTCCTGTCACATTGTTTCATCCATAGTAGCTATTGAATAATTTCTTGGATTATTTGTACGTTTTGATGATAGTAGCTACTGCTGCTTTTATAGGTATAGATCAGCTTTTGCTGTCCTTGTGAGCTAGATTCCCTAGTCCCTGCTGTATACCTTTCTCTACAGTCATGGAAGGGCATTGTCCTTAAAACCAAGAAGAGAAGGAGTAAAAATAACTTGGAACAGAGATGGAAGAAGAAAGATAAAAAAGTTGCAACAGGAAGGAGTGAAGGAAAAATGGGGCAAAGAGAAGAATAATTCACAGAAATGTAGATGATGGTGATGATGGTCTGGTACTGGTAGTGGTGTGTGTCATCGGGTCGATTCTGATTCACAGCCCTATATGATAGTAGAACTGCACCACAGGATTTCCTAAGCTGTAGTCTTTACAGGAGCGGAAAGGACAGGTCTTTTTCTCCCATGGAACCACTGGGTATATTTGAACAAATGACTGTTTGGTTAGCAGCCGAGCACTTAACTATTGTACCACCAGGACTCCTTTAGATGGTATAAGACTTTTTATTTATTTTTCTGGACCTCACTGAGGATCATGTCATTTTTTTCTGGGCCTGGGCCAGGGGTCCTGGCTCTTTTGGTGGGTTGGCCACACATAAAAGGACTCAGTAGTATTTTAAATGGCTTAGGAGTTTGATCAGGGAGGCTAGGCAGAAGCAGCTTGGTTCTGCCTAGAGGCTCGCTATTAAACAGATTTGTCCTAGCAACCAGCATTGCTTTTGTTTTTATAATTAGTATTTCTTGAGGATGAGATAGCATATTTCAAGTGCTGAGTTTACAGAATGGTGTTCACAGGTGCTTTGACAACTATGGATTCCCTGTCATGTGTGTCTGAGAATAGGGGTTAATAGTGATAGTCACTTAGTCATCTTTCTGTATCTCTAATTCCCCCTGGGTCATGGTGGTGCTTGCCTAACCACTGACATATTGAAATATTTAATTCTTTCGTAAGATTTAAGTGCTATTTGGCTAAAAGGAAATGGTGATGTGCAAATGTTTAAAATTAAAACCTCATTAACAGCTGACTATGAATAAAAGATGTCCACATTTGAGGGGTGGCTTGAATTTTTCACTGATAGTCATATGTGTGTTATTTGTTTTGTTGTGTGCTGGCAATTTCCTATGGATGAGCAATGGTCTAACCTTTTATTGTCTTTTGCAATTTGAAGTCTCTTAAGTTGAAAAATTCCTACCGTCTGGGACACTGGACTTTGGTTTACTTAGAGTTCCTGGTGTCAAAAGATAACTTCCTGTATGTGTTCCGGGACCAGTACATGAGTAAGATCATTAATCTGGAGAAAGGAAGGTACCCAGAAACTTGGATCAGGGGCTAAGGACAGACAGAAAAATGTTTATCTGTTATGGGGGTGAAACTATTGGTGTTGGAATATAGTGGCAAGATGCTGTCAAAATATTCTTTGAGAATGAACTATCATTTTATGTAAGTGGAGTAGTTATGAGAGATGAGGTGATTGCAAAGTGAGGTGTTGTGTTGCAGGAGAGGAGAAAAATCTCTGATAAGTAGGTATTTTTAGTTACTTTTTTTTACACACCCTATTTATTTTTACTCACTGCTGTAGAGTCAGTTTGACTCATAGTGACCCCTCCTTGGGTTTCTGAGGCAGTATCTCTACAGAAGTAGATTGCCCAGCCTTCCTTCTGAGGGGTGGCTGTGGGTTTGAACCACCATCCTTCTGGTTAACTATCAAATGCCTTAGGCATTACACCACCAGAGCTCCTTATTTTTATATGAAACTTATTTAAAAAAAAAAAAAAAAAAGACTGTGTTATTGTTACAGATGAGAAAGGGAGGTCCTTTCTAGCAAGAACAAGCATTGTTACTGCAAAAAGTGCAGTAGTTAGCCAGGAAGCATTTTGTCAATTATTCCTTGAATCATGTTAATATTGTGCCATGGAATTTACGAGGTTATTTGCTGACAAGCTGTTTGGGAAGGGGCTTAGCCACAGTAAAGCCCCAGACAGAGTATATGATGAGGAGACAGCTATGTTGGTGATGGGCCAAGTGTGTCTCCTGCTTGTTAAGTTCCCCTTCTCTCAGCCATATATTAGGGGTGTGGGCAGGAGAGGAAGAATATCTTCAAAGGTCCCACCCGGTTGCTTCAGGAGGACAAGGAAATAGGCCACTTTGGGCTAAATCTAGTCTGTGGAGCTCTGCAGTGAGCTCCCAGAGCTTTGCACTGAGGCAGGAGAATCTTGAAGGTATAGTAGGGCAGTACAGGTAACACAAGTCCAGGTCTCACAGGATGATGAGCATATGAGTGAGAAGGTTATTTTCTGGATTGGCATGACAGACTAAGATATACAGGTAAAACCAAAAGCCAAACTCATTGAAGTAAATTCTGATTCATAATGATCCCCATTTCGCTTCCAAGTCTGTAAATCTTTCCAGAAGTAGACTGCCTCATCTTTCTTCTGTGGAGTGGCTGGTGGATTCAAACCACCAGCCTTTTGATTAGCAGCCAGGTGGTGCCTTAACTGCTACACCACCAGAGCTCCTATATGTAAAAGGGAGCAACACTTGGAGGATCATTAATAATGCAGCCTGGAACATCTTTACTATTAGAGGAGATGAAAAGATTTTTAAAACTTCTTCAACATATGAGTGTTTAGTCAGTGCTTCTGAAACCTGTGTTCCCCAGATAATAT